TCCGAAGAAGCCTCTAGACCGGACCATCAGTAAGATGGTCAGTATGAAGCCATAGAACCAACCAAACCTAATAGGTCCAGCATAGGAGACTATAATGCAGGAACATTTCCCACCTTACAGGGGAATTAGGAAGGTGAAGATAAGGGCAGATGTAAGACCCCCGAAGGAAATGAGTACATCACTCTGATCCAGACAAAAGCGCTGACGCCCTGTCTGGATCACATCCCTTAGGTCTTTTACTTACCTTCCTTTGACCCACGATTCTTCCTACCCCTACCCGCGGGCGGGGGAGGAGCACAAGCCGCAACACTAGCCTTCTGAGCCAATCTCTGATCCTCAAACCGAGACGGGCTAGGACCCCTGGGTTTGTTCGGGCTCAGACCCGAACTTCGTGAAGGCCGCTATCCCGGTATTTCAGCAGGTCAGCCTGATATGCTTGGAGCATCACCATCGTGTGCAATGAAGCGACAACCCGACCTGCTGGTGCTGCGTATGCCCTGGCATCCGAGCGAGATGTCAAGGAGGGGAGCCTTAACGGCCTCTTCCATTCCTTCTCAATCTTTATATGAAAAACAGGAAGAAAGGAAGGCTCACTTGAGCTGGAGGGTTATGGCCAGAAAAATAACGTTCATCGAGATACTTCGTGACGTCACTTTCTTCACCCGCTTCACAGCAAGTAAAGCCTCGCAGTGGCGCGATCCATAATTTCCAAAAGCTCATCATAAGCAGGGCAGGAGAATTGGGAAGGCTCAGCCTCAGCTTCTTTGCACTCTTCAGACATTTCCTGCTTTAGCTGGGCTGATCCCAGCAGATCACTGGCCCCTGAATCAGACAATTTTAATGAAATAACATCATCCTCCAGCGGCTCACTCTGCACAGCCGACGATCGCGAAAGGGAAAACCCCTCTTCAAACTCATCGTCCAGATCCACCTGCGATCCCCACGAGCTCATTCCCTTCCATGCCTCAGCAGTGGCAAATCCTGAATCGCGGGAAGCAGACAGCTGCCCTTTTTTTCTCAAAAAGAGAGACAAATGAGAGCGGAGCTTTTTCCCTTGGAAAAAACGCTCACAGTGCACACCGATTGCCCCCTCGGAGGCATCGCATGCGTGCTCTTCGCCCAAACAAATAACGCATAGATCGTGTGTGTCATCAGATGTTAAACAACGTCAACACGGATGCACACATCCTTAAACACTTTGCTAGTGCTCGCCATAATGAGATGAATAGAGATCGCTCTTACCACAGAAATGCACGCTTCAAACAAAACAGTCAATGAAGACGAAGAAGAGAATGATGTGTGCTCCCGGCGCCTATTTATACTATAGTCGCGCCGGTAGTGACATCATGGCTGTTGCCGGCCAACGAGTTGGTGTTTTTTCAATGTATGCTTCAGACACGGGTCATGATGAGGCGTTCCCCATAGCGACCCCTAGAGGACGCAGTTCGAAGTTCCCATGAAAGGGAAGTGACTTTCTGTCGTCTCTGGAACATGAAATAGGCATTTTAAGAAATGTGGAAGTCAATGGTGAATAAAATGTTTTGGTTACCAACATACTTCAAAAAGACTACTTTTGTTCTGAAGAAAAAAATTCATGTTTGGACTGACATGAGGCTGAGTAAATGATAACATAATTGTAATTTTTGGGTGAACTCTAATCATCTCTAATGTAGGTCTATAATTTGCATCTTTGACCTTTCATGGTCAGTTTGGTAAAAAAGACCCCAAACTTTTGAACAGTAGTATATCTTGTATTTTTATTTTATTTAATTTTTTATATTTATATTTATATTTTAAAGGGGGTTTCAAGTTCTAATGTGGCCTTGTGACAGTGTGCTCCACCTAATAGGCCCCTCTTTATGGGTGGATAATGTAAAAGAATAAACACCGTATTCATGAATATAGACCACATATTTGTACAATTAATATAGAAAAAAAGAAAAATACACCAAGTGCCTTTATATAAACTTTCAAAAACCTAAAACAAATTGTAGTTTATGTTTATTAAAGCCCTTGTCTTCACATCTTCAGTCTACTTTTGGACCAAGCAGGCAAACCAAGTGTTAAAATGATATATATATATA